TATTCTTCCCAAGCTTTAGTATAATCAACCTGTCCAACTGGGGCTGGATTTTGCTGATCTCCTTGCCCGTTAGTTTGAGTTGTAGTTGGCGCACCTGCAGGAGCTGCAGGAGGTGGCTGTGCTTGCTGCTGATAATAGTGAGCATAGTAAGCAGCCCAAGCTGCTGAATTCGGATCTGTTCCTGCCTTAGCTGGATCTGGAGGAGCTTGTTGTTGCCAATGTGGGTAAGCATTTCCCCACCCCTGGGGAGCATATGGAGCAGGAGGACCATGAGCAGGACCAGGTGGTCCTGGATTATAAGGTGCAGGATTGTATGGTCCCATTGGAGTTCCAGGTCCTGGAGGTCCATGAGGGCCTGGGACACCATGTGGCCCATGGGGAACAGGTGGCCCTAAAGGATTTACTGGGCCACCAATCTTTTCTTCTATGAGTATTTGCTGTGGAGTGCCATGAATTGTAAATAACTTCATATTAGGATCTGCATTTGGTGGAGGATTTCTCTGAAGTTCTATTCTTGCACCAGACTGTTGGCTTATGCTTTTTATAGTTTCACCTCCTTTTCCTATTATCAATCCAGTTTTCCCAGTTGGCACAATGAAATTAAATTCCTGTAGACCACCAGGTGGTCCCTTGTTCCAGTTCCCTTGTCCTCGCCCTCTCCCTCTCCCACCAGGTCCAGGTCCACCAGGATTACCAGCCTGAACTCTTCGAAGGAGGTCTGTAATAATTTCTGCAGCATGCTGACATCGGTCTGGAGGTCCTGTTATTTGTGCTATTCTATCAGGTGTTGTTCCATCATCTGGTTTAAACTGAATTCGAACACCAGCATCATTTTCTATTTTTTTAATCATCTCTCCATTTCTTCCTATTACAATTCCTACAGCAAATCTTGGAATGGGAACATCTATTCCTTCATTTCCTCCTATTCGTGACCCATATTCATTTCTAACTTCTCTGAAACCACCTTGATCACGAATTAACTCTAATACCATTTCCTTGGCTTGTTGAACTTTGTATGGATCTCCTGTAATTCTAAGAGGTTTGTCAGCACCAGTGTTCTGAGGACCATCTTGAATCATAACCATTTTAACTCCAGCCCGCTCCTGAAGTTGTTTAATAGTTTCTCCTCTTTTTCCAATAACTAATCCTGCCTTGCTTGCTGGAATCATAATTTCTTGAACTGCATTTCCTGGTCCATCACCATGATGAAAGCCAGGGGCTGGTCTTCCTTTTTCAACAATCTGGTCCAATAATCGCTTTGCTGATTGAACAAATTCAGGAGTTCCAGTTAACATACAAGATCTTTCTGGAAGGCCACCACTATCAGGAGCGATCTGTATTTTGCATCCTGATTCCTGTTGTATGCGTGAAATCTGTTCACCTCCTCGACCTATAATGAATCCAACCATTCCATCAGGAACTTTATATTCTTCTGTCATTACAGACCTTTGCTGCTGATGCATTGGTGGTAATTGTGCTCCAAAAGAGTCATTTTGAGGAGCAACTTTCTTAGCATCTGGTTGATCTCCATCCTCCAAAGGTCTTTTTTGTCCCCCATAACCATAGTCATTTGAATTCGGTGATGTACCAGCATCACCTCCAATTTTTGCTGCAATGTGCCGGGCTCTCTGTAGCGCATCTTTGACAGCATCGTTTACTCCCCCTCCACCGCAGCCACCACCACCAGCTGGGCCCAAGGAAGGTGGAGGTACTGTTGAGTAGTCTGCCATAGTTAGCCTACAGCAGCCGTTGCTCTGGAGGAACACAGAGACTTCCTCTGAGCTGCTAAGAAAAGAAGAAAATGGCCTGTTTTTCTCTTTTTAAGGCATAGCTTTACTCTCACTTTTTTTTTGCATCCCTTCTAATGCTTTTAGGCGCAAAATACACGAGTTTCTGCTCAGACACATTCTTTCATCACAGACTCATACAGATAAAAAAAACCCACCAGGAATAAATTTATAGGCTACCCCATCACTATGTGTGCTGAAAATTTTCTGAAATGGTTTAGGCAAATACACTAATAGATTCACCTCTAAACACACAACTTATTGAACAAATATCATCATCCATCATGTGCTAAGTTCTTTTTTTAGATACTTTCTGTGTTCATTCTGAAAGCATGAAATAGAAGTTACTATATAAAAGTGCCTGACAGCTACATACTGAATACCCACAAGTATTAGTAGAACATATGTAACTTACTTCCTACTGTGCTGACACTATAAAGCAATCTCTTTAAATCATTTCCAATGATCCCAAATAAGAATCAAGAAAATGTTTAACAAAAAAATTATAGTAACGTTTTTCAGAGGCATTAAATACTCCATTGTTTTGATACTCCCCAAAAAGGGAGATTATCTTTTTGGGGAGAGACTTCTACTTTGCTATTTTATCATTCTCATTAAAGAGCCATTATCACATAAGAAAGAAAGAAAATTATTGGCTGCAAAGGTAAAAGCATGATTTACAAAATGACAAGAAAGATCCTTTTGGAATGATGGCAAGGTTCTAAATTTGGATTGTGATGACAGCTGTACAAGTTTGTATTTAACAAAACTCATTAAACTTTACAATTACAAGTGAATGTTACTGTATGTCAATCTGTATCTTACAGAAGCTGGCAGCATGGAATTAAGACTTGTATAGTAAATTTCCTGATTCTGATCATTATTAAGTAAAACAATGTTTCCATTTGTATGAACTACACTGCTAAGTACCACTGGGGGTTAGAGGAATAGCATGTCTATAATTTACTAGCAAAGATTTAAAAATAATAGAAGCTAAAGAAAATTGGCTAAATACTAACATTAGGGAAACTTGATTGAGAGGTATTTGAGAATTCTTTGTGTTATTCTCGGGATATTTTTTCTAAGCTTGAAACTGTCTAAAAAAGACATTTTGTTAAAGGTGACAGAAAAGTTTAGGAAAAAGTTAAGACAGTGAGGAGTATGACTATTATAGGCTTCCTTTTATTGTTTGCAAGTTACAAATTCTTATCAAAAAGTAGAGAGCCAAACTATTCCAGAAACTCTAAGAAGGAAACAATGAAAACCTTTTTTTATGACTGGCGAATACATAGAAAGTTACTCAAGAATGCTAAAAACAAACAAACAAACCACACACCAACTTCATTAATGACTATTTTAAAAATCTCAATCTGCTATACGGTTTGGTCTAAAGTAACTCAATT